ATAAACTTTGAATGTACATGTACCATTTACCCAGATTTTCCTCGTAAATATTTAGTGTTTTATTATAAAATTAACACTTCACGTGTTTTTGATCAGAATTTGAACAACTTTCTTGAGTTATAACACGCCAATTCTACAGTTGTGTAAAAGTTTATGCAAATTTATTTTTTATTGTTTTATATTATTGTAAGAAATATAATTTGGTTTGCATTTAACGCAAAGCTACACGAGGGTTATCAGCACTAGCCGTCCCTAATTTAGCGCTGATAGAATAGAGGGAAGGCTAATAAACACCGCCCACCGCCATCTCTTGGGCTACTCTTATTCCAACAAATAGTGGGATTAACTGTCACATATAACGCCGAAAGGTCAAGCATGTTCGGTGTGGTAGGGATTCGAACCTCGCGACCTGCAAATTTTAAGTCAAGCGCCATAACTACTTGGCCATAAAATATATATATAAAAAGAATAGCATTACTAATCGCCTTAGATTTTTTTTTTTCAAATCGTTAATGAGCTAAGTTTAGGAAGCTGAGCTACTTAATTCGAAATGCCTTAATAGTATTATTCAGATCCGATCTTAAAATTTTCACATAACATTAGGAAAAATAAAGCTGTCAAATTTATTTTATTCAGGTTACTACACCATTCAGTCTCGCAAAGTGTCTGAAATGCATGGGAAATTGAAGGACAGTGAAGTGTCGCAAAGTGGATTCGGAAATAGTATCGCTGATCTTCCAGCATCCCTTAAGATACTCCTCATCAATCCGACATTCGTATTCCTTAGTCTAGCAGGAGCTAGTGAAGGTAAATCATTTGTTTGAGTTTTGAAAGTATCTGAAGCTGTATATTTATGCTATATCCTAAAGAAAAACTGTTGATTTTTAAAATACTTTTTTGGTTTTCTGACTTTTAGTGTGGGAGTGGTTCCAGTTAAACACCATCATCTTATTGAAAGGATTATGTTAGTTGGTTAACTAAAATATGTAGTGTAAGAGAATGTTTTTGACTCCTTAACGGATTGTTAATGAATACAAAGTAACTTCATGTGATTACGTGGTTTTGTCTTGTTTTTCACAGTGGCGAAAGTAAATATGTGAATAAAGTGAGTGAATAAATGTTCGGGAACACACACGATTTCAAACGTGTACATTATGTATAAGAACTCTAAAAAACATTCACCACAGAGAAGTCAGTAATGTATATGATTAATATGGAGCGTCAGTGTTTCATGTTCTTTAGTTATTTGAAGATCCGTCAGTAAAATGTCAGTACTTTATGCTGGTCTTTCTATCGGACTTCAAAATGCTTAACATGAAACTATAATGTTTTATTCTCTACAACTATTTATAGTTCCATCAGTACAATTTCAGTCATATTATACTGATTTTTCTATCGGGCTTTAACACGGAGCTATAGTGTTTTATGCTCTATAATATTTCGAAGTTCCGTCAGTAGAATTTCAGTCATATTATACTGATTTTTCTATCGGGCTTTAACACGGAGCTATAGTGTTTTATGCTCTATAATATTTCGAAGTTCCGTCAGTAGAATTTCAGTAATATTATACTGATCTTTTTATCAGGATTTAAGCTCTACCAATGAAGAAACAAGCTAAACATAATCGAAGCAAGTGCAATTTTAGTACATGACATTTACTCGACAAAAGCGCTTGTAGAACGAATGGTTAAAATCCTCAATACATGAATTTATTTTTTCAGGTATGATCCTATCTGGGCTGGCAACGTTTTTACCAAAAGTAATCGAATCACAGTTCAGCGTGGCGGCGAGTGCTGCAGCGTTACTTGTAGGTGAGTATGCACAGATTGACTAAAACCTGTAATGACTCGATGCAGTGCAGTGACCCTAAGGTAGTTTTGAATTATCAAAGCGAGCAAACAATAGAATTGGGAACATTAACATTTCAAGGTTCGTAACATCTCACACTTCCTGTCACGTAAAACTTCATTTAACGTTTGGTCAATTTACCAGATGTAACTTGGTTATTGTAGTGTATCATTAACATAAATATTACAAGTAATACTTGAATCAAAACCAACAATTTTATAGATTTTTTAAATTTTGTACTGGTTGTGTTAGAGGTAAAAAAAGCAGGAACAAAATTGAACGCGGACATTAAGAATAAAGAAAAACCAGAATGAAGTATTTTTATTAAGCAAAATAAAGTGAAGAATTGGCGACCGTTAATAATCGCAAGGTTTAGATTACAACGTTTATTTATTATGAAACGAAGTATTTTACTAATTTCTTTGAGAAACTGACACTCACTCATCATTTGGATGAAATGGATTTCGTAGAAATTGAAAGTCGAACCCATGCTTCTGTTAAGCATAAACGTAATAAACGACGACTTTTAAAAATTCAACACTTAATTCCTTGAGAAAGTGAAGTTATATTTGCGAATAAAATCAGAGCAATGAAACATAAAAAAACGTTGTTGTTTTTTTAACCTGTCATAATGAAGTAGAAAATGAACTCATTAATGCCATTTTAACACTGAGCTTTAATCCAAGTAACGTTAGCATTATGGTTTAGCTGCATATAAAACTTTTTATAATTATCGAATGCAGAACATTTAACTCACTCTTCATTATTTTAAAAGTAAATAGTCTAAAGTAGTAATTTATTTCTAACTAAAGGTTAAAATGCTAATTACATAAGTTTAAAACACGAGGAAGCATCGTATTTCACTTTGAAATCTGGTTTACTTTTTTCTTCGAAGATAACGTTGACCGTTCGTGGATTATCTTGAACTGACTTGCACAATGTCATGACTTACTAGCTCATTCAGCAGAAAATTCCGAAATGCAAGTTGTAACTCGACAAAATAATGATCCGCAAGGCTTAATTTAAAATTCTAACATGAAAAATAAACGAATTTTATTATCATTTTTAAGCCTTAGCATTAAATCTTTTGCCGCTAAGTTGCTTCTAAAACTTGTTTGTCTGAACCACCGTAAGCGATTTTTTATTGCTGTAATACGCATGTCTTGTAACATTTTTTATTATCAACTGACAGTATCTGTTGTTTATACCTTTCAGGGATGGTGACTGTACCTGGGGCAGGAGGAGGAACATTCTTTGGTGGATATTTAGTAAAAAAGTTCAACCTCCGCTGTGCCAGCATCATCCGGATGTGCTTGTTATTTTCCGTCATTTGCCTTACCATGTGCACAGTGTTTTTTATACACTGTCCAAATCCTAGATTTGCAGGAGTGGATACACCAGTAACGAATACGTATGTCAAAACTTTTGTGTTAATGTTACATGATATACTACAGATTCCAATACTCAACCGGAAAGAAAATATCCCTTTCTTTATTTCATTCTCAAATGTTGTCGCAAATTAAAGTTCAAAATCTGCCAAGATTTAATTTGAAACTAAACCCTAATGTGTAATAGCAACTGCAATGTCAGCGGATTTGAAAAGTTAAAAATCATGTACATGTTTTGAATTTTCCACTATATCCACTAGAACCCTATTAAAAATGCAGCACGTTTATTAACCATAAAACCTGAGGCTTATTGTAATTTAAGAACATTTAATAGTAAGTCACAAAAAATATATCTTCACGAAGTGTTTGTTCTTTTATCTTAAACTGTTTAAGATTAGCCAAAGTTGATGTTCTTTCAAAAATTCATTCTTTGTCATACAAAGCAACTTTCTTCTTAAGAGTAAGAGATATATTTTATCTTTACAAAATATCTCAGAAGTATCAGTGGAGTGGTTCAACTTCTAATATAACTGGCTATTCGTGGCCTTCAGATTTTCTCACTGTTACTCCTATGAACATAGGAAGTTAATTTTTTGTATTTCTTTAAAATGCTCAAATCGTAAATATCTATCTATTTAAGGCAAAAAATTAGAATACTGGTTTATAAGTTGAAGCAATGCACTCTTTTAAAAACCTGTTTGATATATTAAAAAAAAAAATATTTACTTTTGAGGCCTAGTGCATCCATTAACTGGTTACGATCTGTGCGGTAGTATTTACTGTGGTAGTAAGATAAAAAGTTAATACAATTCTCTTATTGACCAGAAAAATGTGTTAATCTTTAGAATGCCTAATGTACATCAAATATGAAAAAAACAATATGAGTGACAGGTACGAGGCTTCAAGTTTTCTTTTCATGAACTTTAATTGTTGGTTTAAGTCATAATTAATTTCAGTGCAGCCTGACTGATGAGAAGACTAAGAACAAAATTGTAAAAATATTAATGCTTTAATTCTCGGGGTAGATTACAGTTTTTAAAGTTTACTTTTGCATGTGTATATGTTTGTATTCAGTCTAAACAGGTTTAGAACATGCTTGAGAATGTGGTTTAAAAAATAGTTTTGTTTAATGAAACTACGTGTTAAAATATTCTATTATGTATGTGCTAGTTAAACCAATTTAGCTGAATTTCTTTGATTTGCAAATGTTACCTAGAAAGCACCAAGTACTGTATATTTTCTCTCGTAATATTTCAAGTTGTTCACCTGCTCTGAATAGAAGTAGAACATGTGTATCGTGCTTCCATCTGGTGGAGAAGAACGTTTTTGCGGTGTTTAAACTTTATACACACATGCATATATATATGGTGAGCAAAAGTGAGTTTTTAATTTGCTACTGCTCTAAATGAAACTAACGATAGCTATTTTATCTACAGAACTCCTTTTAAGCGAGACGTGGTGTCGTTTAAGGCGGACTGTAACGCTCAGTGTGACTGCCCTACGGAGAGGTACAATCCCGTGTGTGGCACAGATAATGTCATCTACTTCTCTCCTTGTTTTGCTGGTTGTCAGTCCTTTCACCATCTGGCAGACACAAAGGTTTGGAACTCTTTATCATCTGTACATGAAGAACTCGGAAAGGAAACCCATTTCTGGAGTCAGACTAATAATAAATAAAACAATTCGATAAAACCCTGGCGCTTCCGAAAGGTGGACTTCTCTTCTTTGTGGAATAAAGGCGACAATACTGCCTCTACTCCTAAAGGTGATAAGTTTATCCCCGAGGCGTTAGGGTTTTATCGTTTCTTAAATGTAATTTACCAACTTTTTTTATACTACGTGTTATTTCTGTCATGAATTAAAAGTAAGATATTCAGATTAATAGCGAACAGCTGACTGACTGAGGGAGAAGGACGGGTTATTATGTATAGATAAAGGCTAGTTTTGTAAAATTTGACTAGCCTTTTTAACTACTAATATACCTTGTATTATGAAAATGACAAAAATATCTTTTTACTAAATAACAAAAAATCAGTATTTTTATCACTTAACTACCTGTGTATAATTAGTATTGGTTCGTTTTTTTTTTAAGCAGCATTAGATGATATTGACAAATGTAACTTTAATGAGACAGGATAACAATATCACAACTACACGTTAGACAGAAGCATCTCAAGGCATGGCTGAAAGCTTGTAATTAAATGTCTTGAGGACAAGTTCATAAGGAATAAACTTCAGTCAGCCCAGCTGACACGTCACTGGTAATGAAACCCATGCAGTCTGTTTAGTATATGGCATTATTAAATAATACATTTTATCCTTCATGAGTTAACATCTGTAACTGCATGATGTGGGCTTAAGGGTGAATTCCATAACACAAGATAGATTTAGGCTAAATGAAAACTGAATGGTTGTTCCTTATTGTGTGTATGCGTAAAATAATAAATAGCGAGTTTAATTGAAGTATGAAATGGGATAAACATTAATAAAATTAATTAGGCATTGTCCTGGTTCATGCAAAATGTATAAACTGTAGGACAAGTTAATCAAAAATCTAGTGAAAATAAAAAACCCAGTAGTGAAAACAACATCAGAATGTTGTCAAGATTTGTTTACAAGTACAGAATAGAAATAATCATTGATGTTTGCTTCCATATACTCCAATGAAATTTATCTACACATTATCAACCTTTCTATTGAGTCCTTGTATTAGTGCGTAAACAACCAGCATGCTTCATAGGGTACTGAGTGTATATCAAGTTATGAATATCTTAGCAATAAAGTTAGAAGAAAAAAAAACGACCTTTACTCTCCAGATTAAAATGAAAACACGCTTTACTTTCGCCAACTATTCGCTAGTAGTACAAGAACTATTTGCGATAATATAACCTGAAATAGATATAGTCTAAATGAAAAGTGTATGGTTGGTACTTAGTGGTCGTGTGTGTATGTGTCTGTTAAATAATAAACAACGAGTTTACAGTAATTCGCTCTTAGATAGTTTGTCTAATCGGAATCCATTGTGGCATGTCAGAGCACTGTTATAAGCTCGTAGCAGCACCAAACTTTATCATCAAATGACCATTGGATCTCAATCCAACTATAGACCTTAGGAATGAAAAAACATAGCATTTGCCATAATTTTCCTTTTTTACACAGTTGTGACCCTATTTCTGTCTACATTCTAGAACGTATAGTCCATTATTGAATGTGACACCTTCAAACATCGTGTAGAGTCTATGCCATACACATCCAAACGATTTAAATATCGTGTAGTCTATGGCACACAGATCCACTCTATATAAATATAATGTAGGATCTCTGCCACACAAATTTAGATTTATTTAAATATTATGTGGAATCTATGCCACAGAAATGAAAGCTATTTAAATATCGTGCATAGTGTATGCCACACAAGTCCAAGCTATTTTTGCAGCGAAAATAGTGCAACTCGATATTATGTGGGTTCCTTATAATGTAACCAGCAAGTGTTCACCCTGTATCTCCACATGTTTGTCATTCATGCTGAATATGTCCACCAAAATAACACAATGTAATTTTAACTGAAAGGTTTTTAACTGACACTTTCAAGAAAAAAGTGCCAGTTTTTCAGTTGTAAATGTATGTAGCTAGCAATTTGTATTTAAGGAAGTTGCTCATATGATAATGAATCCTAAAAATTTGACATATTTCTGCTGGTATGAATATTGCCTGAAATAAATCGGTTCCTGCATTACTCTTGCTGGTAGAAACCCATTATCCGTCAACAACTTCCAATCCTGTAGTAACTTTTATGTTTAAATGTTAAAGTGAACAAAACTAAACCAAATTCTCCAATTTTAACGGAATTGTAAGGGCTCGAGATCATTCTGGTATCACGAAAGGGTAATTATTATTGGATACATATTAAAAGTTCTGTTTGTGGCCTAAACCATGTATGTGATAATCTATTATTTTTGTTATTTCTAATTGAACATTTAAATCTGGTTAGTGCAGATCAAATAATGAAATCTTTTTTTCCGAGGGTAATATCTGTTGCATGTTGTGTGATAAATTATTGCTATACCCCTTAATTACATTGCATAAGTCTAGCCTATTCTCATTGCCTAAATTTTGCATATTTTCAGGTTTATGAAAATTGTACTTGTGTAGAAGGCCCCGGAAGAAACGAAACAATAAAAGATTCTACGGTAGTTATCCAGGCAGTACGAGAAAAGTGTCCAAATTCCTGTACATTAATGCCTTTGTTTCTTGTCATGATATTTTTTGCCATGTTGTTTACATTTCTTGTCAGTATGCCTTCTCTGTCAGCTACCTTGCGGTAAGTCTTACTTGAAAATTAGTAGGTTATCTATATATTGGATGTGCTGCCATCTCGTGTTACTTTGTAATTTTATGTCTTACAATAACAAAATATTTCAATTTACGTGAGAAGTCTTGTAAAACCATTTCTAATTATTTGAAATTTCGCACATATTTATTTATTTATTGTTTGTCGATATTTCTATTATAGGACATACTATGACGAATGATAAAATTATAGTGATAATATTAAAATAAATACAACGTTAAAACAAAAGGGTGTTTCAGGATGCCGTTCAGTCAGTTGTATTTTTTTCTCTCGTAACAATATCAGGGTAAACCTGTTTTGTTTTTTGTTTTCGATTCTATCACTTCAGTTCTTTCGTAAGCAGTACTGGTTTTTCAGTAACCCATTTGGTTTACATTCTATTAGTAGTCGGGAGATCACGATAAATGCAAAAATATATTATTTAATTAGTCGGTTAAACATATTATACAATATTAAGAAATTACATTTTGTCAAGAAAATGACAAATGTATTTGTTTGAACTAATTTAAACGCTAATGAATGAGTACAAAACTACATCGAAATACATACGTTAAACATGAGTTAAATTCTATGAAAGAACGACACATTAACTTTATAGAATGTAAACAGTAAGTTATCTATCACTGAATAGTTAAATTACCCAGACTAATTAATGATTAATTAGAGAAAATATAAGATTGATTTAGATTTAGGATTAGAAAGTTGAATACTTTACAGGATTCAAAGAACGTTTTAAACACATTTTTAGTATAGTTTTACAATTTTGTTTTTCATTCTATCAGTTGTGTGGCTGAGTCTCAGAAGTCATTTGCGCTTGGAATACAGTGGATAACAGTTAGATTGTTGGGTAAGTTAATAGTAGACGAGTGATAAATTTTGCTATCTTCTTTTCTTTAAAAATTGATCCAATTATTATAAATAAATAAAGGAATCTCACAATCGGTGAATTAAGCTTGTCTCTTTAGAAAAGTAAGTTCACCCTACAGAAGGGTATTCTGGTAGGGTAAACTCAGTAGTATTCCTATATATAACAAAACAATCCGTGAACTCTTCTGTACATTGGAAAAATTTGCAATTAATTCAGGATATTGTTTAGTTGAAAAGGGGTATTTGAACGTATTTATAACAGGTGGAAACTTGTATATGTTTTGCATATATAGTAAGAAAACAAAGCAATTCAATAAATTTAACATAGTTTATATAATATATAAATATCCAGAGGTCTGAACCTGTAGTATAAAAAAACATTCTCTATAAATTAGTTCATTTACGATGTAGCATTTTACAGATTTCCACAAGAAATAAGTTTAATGTAAATTTCCTAAAATGATTATTTAAGAAAGTCACATTTTTCTTAACTTGGCTTGGTGAAGAAACGCGAATGTGTCATATGTGTGTGTCGATGAAGAAGCGACACTTTGGGTTATATCTTGACTTGACAGTGATTCGCGAATCTCTGCATGATTTATTATATTTTTTTACAAAATTTGTGTTACGGTCAAAATATAAATTTTGTAGTTTTGTTTGCTGCGCAAAATGTTTTTTTCCCTTGTGACCTTAAATTCAAGCTTCTTGTCTTTTGTTCTTTTTAATCTTTTTATGAATTAATTTTCGAAAATAAAAACTAATGTATTAATCTCGCGACAAAACAAATGATCAGTTGCTATAAAGATCTATTCTTGGTCAGTGAGCTGGTTATTTAAAATTGAAGAATTTTGATTGTTTTAATCACGAATTTGCTGAACTGAATTGGCTTAAGAATCATTTCTGTTAAATTTTTCTCCTTTCTAGGAACTATACCGGGCCCTGTCTTGTTTGGCAGCTTGATTGACTTGAGTTGTGACGTTTGGCAGGAAGACTGTTCAGGTCAAGGAGCATGTCTTGTTTACGACAACAAACGAATGAATATCCATCTTCTGATTATCACGTGTGTTCTAAAAATCCTTTCAGCGTTATTTTTCTTTTTAGCGTGGTTCTTATACAGACCACCACAGGACGTCCTTGACAGCAATCCCCAGGAGATGAGAGAGATTACACCGGAAAAATCTTTGCCAACAGTCACTCAGATTCTTCAAACGCCAGAGATAAACGGCGTAAATGCACCCAATTCAGATGTGATCAGTAACGGTGTAGCATCCCACTTGTAGTCTTTGTACAGATTGTTTAGTTGTTTTTGGTTATGTATTTTAAGGGGATTTGTAAGGTATTTCTCCAGATGAATAATAGTATCAGTTTCGGCGATAACATTGTCGTGTTTTTCAGTGTTGGCGTGTCTTCCATTCACCTGAAGTACTTATGTCTAAACCTATCAGACAATTCTTGGGAAAAGTTTTTTCTTGTTCTTTTGTACAAATCACATGGAATCGATAAAACTTTCAAGTGAAAACGATATAATGTGAAACTCGTATTTAGCTTTATTTTATATCATTTGAATTGTGAGTTAAAGAAGGCCATTTAGTCGTGACATGTTTGAGTAAAGTTGACCCGACTGTCTTTATACATCTTGACAGTACTTTTTAAAGCATTACGTGCTTGTCAGTTTAAAATGATCAGTTCTCTCAATGATCTGGCGACACTTAGAATTTTTAAGGAGTTGCGTGGAGTTCCAAAGCTCAGGCAATCACGTGCTTGAGAGAAGAATGGTAGTTACAAGGACAGGTTTTTAACATCACGCATATTACGTCAGAGATCCAGAAGTCCACTCAGGGTCCCAGTGCTTTTTGTGCAGGATGAATATTATATTAATGTACAAACTCAGAAAAAAATAAATAAAGCAGACCATTTTGTGGACCAGCCGAGTATAATTTGATTCATTTAGCAAATATATGAATATGAATCACCAAATGTGAAGGAATTTATTACGATTACGTTTTCTACCATTAATGACATTATTATTAATATCTGTTTATACATGCTTAATCTACGATCTACCCGTAAAATAATATATTTAACGGCCAGGTGGTTAGGGTGCTTGACTCACAATCTGCGGGTTCGAATCCCCGTCACACCAAACATGATTGCCCTTTCAGCCGTGGGGGCGTTATAATGTGCAGTCAATCCCACTATTTGTTGGTAAGAGAGTAACCCAAGAGTTGGCGGTGGGTGGTGATCACTAGCTACATTCCCTCTAGTCTTACACTGCTAAATTAGGGACGGCAGGTAACCCTCGTGTAGCTTTGCGCGAAATTCCAAACAAACAGATAAATTAGACAATCTGACACTCGTGTAGCTTTGCGCGAAATCCATAACAAACAAACAATATATTTAACACTCGTGGAATATTAAATACTATATAATTATTAAACCTAGAAGCAGTTTAAATATATTTTCTCTTTATTGCTTTGAAGTTGTTAGCGATATTAAAATCGTGATACTGTAGCCCTTAGTGAATTAGAACATGTTTAATCTTTTAAAAAAATAATTACATGAAACGTTTCAGTGCTGCAAGTTATAATTTGCATTTTGTCTTAAATGTTCTCTTTGTAATATCGAACATTTATCGTGTACATCTTTGATAAATAGGAACAAGCTTCAACAGTTTGATTTACGTCCAACAGAGTTTTATAAATATTCAATTCTGTGTTGGAAAAACTCTTAAAAACTAATGTCTGACAAAATAACGAATTACCCACGACATAATAAAATAAGTGAAGTAATAAGTAACTGTTTAGTCATTAACATGCCTAATCAAACAGTATCATAAAAAAAATCAAACTGTGATAGTGGAATAAATATTATCATACCACACTTTTTGTGATATCTTAACATTTTATGATATGGAAAATAAGAATACTTTCAATGTGGCAATGTTTTAACACCCTAACAACACAAATTATGTTTCAGAAAATTAAACACCTAATTTTATGAAACATTAAAATATTTTTAGAAATAATGAATAGGTACTGAAACTGACGTTTAACAACAAAACAATCTGTTCGGTACTTGTTTATATACAACTAACAAATATATTACACGATTTACGTAATAAAATAAGTAATATTTCGTTTTAGTTCAGCGAAAATTGGGGAAATTAATATTGTTTGTATATAATTTGTATAATGTTGAAAAAAAATAATTGCAATACACAATTAAATGTGTATATTATTTGATAAGTGAGCAACAGATCAACTATCATTAATGTCATAGTTCGTCTTACATATGCAGGGGCGCTTGAGATATGCGGAAAGCAACTTCTAGCAATAAACCAAAAATCCACTAAACTCGTAAACGACCTCGTGTTGTTTTACATATTACAGTTTTATTCAAATATGAGCATAAGAAAAACCAGAATGCCACCTCTGCATATTTTTTGTCACGTGAGAATAGCTCTCGAAGGCTACAAATAGTTAATGATCACGTCGAAAACAACCCTCAACTATCAGGTTGTAACGAGAGTTCTGTCCGATTTTTGAGCCGAAAATGTTGAACAAGATTTAATTAAGTTCTATCTCTATCTGATGTTTAGTCATGCCAACATAAGTAATACATCACTTTTACTTTCAGGATATAGGAACATTATTTAAGAAAACGCTCTCAAACTGACCCCATGTTTGATCCGACTAAAGAACACATTCGTCATGTCATGCTCTACGAGTTTCATAGAGGGATCAACGCAAGTGCAGCAGCAATATTTATCCAGAACACTTATGGTGTCGATGGAGTAAGTGAAAGAACTTGTAGGAGGTGGTTTTCCCGTGTCAAAAATGGGGACTTTGGTTCAAAGGATGAGCCAAGAGAGGGTCGTTCAAGTGGACTCGATTCAGAGGCACTGAAAGCAGCTGTTGCAGCAAATCCTGCCATTACAGTTAGGGATCTTAGCGAACAATTCAATGTTAGCCATATGACCGTCCATCGCGAATTGAAAAGGCTTGGAAAAGTGTTAAAGGTTGGAAAATGTTTCCCACACGACCTGTCTGTAGAAAATCGCCAACAACGTGTCGATTACTGTGAGGTATTGCATTCACTTCAGAACCAACTGCCATTTTTGGACAGAGTTGCTACTGGGTATGAGAAATGGATCCTTTGTCATAATGTTAAGCGCCGTCGTCTGTGGCTAAGTCGTGGTAATAGACTTGCCCAGCAGCCGAGAGGGATACTTGCATCCAAGGAAGATCATGTTGAGTGTATGGTGGGATATGCAAGGAATTGTCCATTATGAACTGTTAAACAATAAGCAGACAATCACAGCAGAGGTTTACTGCCAACAACTGCGGCGTTTGAAAACAGCTTTGGACAAAAAACGCCCGTCCTTAGCAAACAGAAAAGGGGTCATTCTTCACCACGATAATGGACGTCCCCATACCGCGCGAATAACCAAGGATCTCCTAGAGGAACTTGGCCGGGAAAAATTGCTTCACCCACCATATTCTCCCGACCTTGCTCCTTCTGACTATCATTTGTTTAGGAGTTTATAAAATCATTTGGGTGGACTTAGACTAACTTCAAGAGAGGGGGTCGAAAATGAGTTAATCTCTTATTTCGGGTCAAAACCTAAGGAATTTTATAAACGTGGCATCCAAAAAAAAAACTTGTTGACAGATGGAACAAGGTTATCGAAAGCAATGGAGAATATATTGATGATTAAATACATCTATAATCATCACTATTTTGTTATCTAAATTTATTTGAAAATTGGACAGAACTTTCGTTACAACCTGATATATACTCCTAGTTCCCGGCGTACAATACAAACGATAACACACTACCAAATCATAAAGACATTTTAAACCGCAAGATCTCTAAAGCCGAAGTAAAATAAAACATCTGCACATTCAGAAATTCTGCTCCCGGGCTCGACGGGATCCGAAATATAATCTTTAAAAAAGTCTCTAACAACTTAATTATTGACCTCGCCAACTTAATGAACCTATCATTGCTAACAGAATACTTTCCAAATACATGGGAAAAAAGCAATAATAACTGCCATCCAAAAAACACCACCATTACATCTAACCCAGAAAAATACTTCTTTACTACTCTGAAACCAACAACCTCCTTACAAATATGCAAAATTCATCCAAAAACAAGAGGAAATCCTCAATAGCCGCTGCCGTCAAGAGATGGAGCTATGAACTAAAATTTTGTACTAGGAAGAAAAATTGTCGCGTCTAAAAAGAGACAAACCAGTGATCATCTTTCACTGAAGCTGTTTACAGATCTTTTAATAATAAACAAGCCACGATTGCCGTTTTTATCGATGTACGTAAAATCTTCGACAGTGTGTGGCATAATGCCAAAAGATAAAAACTAAACTCGGTGAATAGTAACCAAACAATAATAAGATGAACCTCAAATTTCTTAACAGACCGTACAGCCGCAGTAAAAATCAACAACATTATCTACAAACCCTTTAACGTCACAGCAGGAGTACCGCAGGGTTCCGTTCTATCTTCCCTCCTGTATATTATCTCTTTCAACAACATCCCCTTTCCAAAATTAACATACATCTACTTCTCTCAATTTGCCGACGACATTGCTGTTTGGAGTGTTTCCAGAAATTCATCAATAGCCGCGGATCGTGTACAAAAATCATTAAATGCTATAACGATTGGCGGGTCCTTTTAAATCCGCTCAAAACTCTGGGTATGTTTGACGTCGTAGCCTGAACAAACACTTTAAACAGTGGAACGAAGTTAAATTAAAACTAGGCAATTTGAACATTAGAATAAATAAGTGTCAAATTTCATGGTGTACTATTCGATAGGGCAGAACACATAAGAAAACTACACGAATCAGTTACCAAACGAATTAATCACCTAAGACTTATTACTGGACAAAATAAAGGATGCACATCTGAAACGATTTATAAAACATACATACGTTCAGTCATAATGCACGGATGCGAAGTTATCTGTAACATATCAAACAATTCTCTTAATAAATTACAACTCCAACAGAACAGAGTCCTAAGGTTAGCCCTAAAGCTTCCAAGCTATACTCTTATCAACTATTTACACAAAGTAAGCAATATATCTTCACATAGTGCAAACTAGTTCATAATTACTAAAAAAAAGCAGAAACAAAAAATAATCTCACGGCAACTAGCGCACCCTACAATTTATACCTAAAACAAGCACAGATTTACAAAAAATAACACTCGCTTATAAAGGGTATTCTATATTCACGTGTGGTTTAATCCTCATGTTTTGCCTTTCAGCCTGGGAACGGGACAAGCAAAAATTTGGCGTTTGTCCTGTGAAAGTGGGATTGTTTTCTCACACACACCCAACAAATTCTGGGCATAGGAGTTGTGGCTCCTCGCCACCATAAAAAAAAATACCGTTTCTCTTTCTTAGTTTTAGTTTCACGTTTAAGCCAAATTTTACTTTCAAAATTTCACGTAGACAAGCCGCGATGTTTGGTTGTACGTCATCTTCCTCAATACAAGCCGTCGCCGTCACTTTTGCCTCTGTCTTCAAACTAAGTCATGATCTTCAAGAGATCGTCATCAACTTCCTGTACACAGACTGTCGCCACTACTTTACCTTCCATTACCTCTGCCAACGATACAATCCACCTCACTATTTTTTTGTTTGTTTTTTTCACGATAGGTTTTACAAGTTTTTCTCAAGAGCGGGACGAAGGGGAATAAGATTTCCTGGAACATCCTAGTTTGGATAGATCGCCTAAGGCGAACTTCTCCTTTAAACTAGATAACTGCCATTAATTTTGTTTTCAGCATGCCTTTCACTTGAAGAGGGTCAAAATATTCGTGTAAATTTGGTAATTTTATATCCATTGTATCATCGCAATAACTATTATAGTCACTATCTACAAATCTGTATAAGTTTTGATTAAGAAGCTAGCACACAGGATCACATACAAAAGTTGTAATGGTTTTCAAACGAGACCCCAAACTCGAGCGCTTTCGAATAATTCATTATTATTATTATTCTCCTGAAAAAGAATAATGAAG